CATCCTCCTCCCTTCTTCCTGTTCCTCCCTTCTTCCTCCTTCCTTCTTCCTATTCCTTCTCCTTTCTTCTTCCCTCCTCCTCCTTCATCCTCCTCCCTTCTTCCTGTTCCTCCCTTCTTCCTCCTTCCTTCTTCCTATTCCTTCTCCTTTCTTCTTCCCTCCTCCTCCTTCATCCTCCTCCCTTCTTCCTGTTCCTCCCTTCTTTCTCCTTCCTTCTTCCTATTCCTTCTCCTTTCTTCTTCCCTCCTCCTTCCTGTTCCTCCCTTCTTCCTCCTTCCTTCTTCCTATTCCTTCTCCTTCCTTCTTCCCTCCGCCTGCCTTCTTCCTATTTCTTCTCCTCTCTTCTTCCCACCCTCTCGTCCTCCCTCCTCCCGTCTTCCTGCTCCTGTTCCTTCTTTCTTTCTTTCTTTTTTTTTGGAACGATTAACACGAACTTGGAGGCTGCCCATAACTCCCCATCGTGAAATCTCAGGGGCTTTTCATTTATAACCTTGTCTGGCCAAGCAGGGTCAAAGCAACTGACGTTATTTTTTTCCCACCAGCGCAGTGGTAACCCACTATTGAAACAATGTGCAAATGGACTTGAGTTTGATTTCCCCCCCCCCCTTCCTTAATTAAAAGTGACTACATTCTGGGCCTCCTCCTCTTCATCCACTGTTTATATTTATTATTAAACGAAGCTCAAATTAGTTCTCTTGAGTACCAGTTGAATCTCTGCCTATCCTGGTCATTTTTAATTATGTACCAAATGCCAAAAAATTCCTGTCCTACCCCTGAGTTTTATACTTCATTAACTTTGCTGCTAATACTTTTTTTTTCTTTTTGTCAACAGATGCTTTTGTTTCTCGGTGGTGCCCAAATTCTGTCTCCCGCGCTTCCAAGTTCCTTTTTTTGGCAGGAGTGGTGCCTACGCTAGTAAGAACATTGCACTCCGTGCCTGGAACAATTCGGTTACTCTTAGCGACCGCAGTAATTAAGTCCTGTGGGCGAAACAGTACATTACCAAAATGCAAGATTAACAGCCGGGCATGTGAGTTGATTCTGTCCCAACCATTCTTCATGATTTGTGTGCAGTTATTCAAGCAGGATACAGCTGGAAGGGACCTTGGAGGTCTTCTAAACCAGTGGTTCCCAAACTTGGCAACTTTAAGACTTGTGGACTTCAACTTCTAGAATTCTCCAGCCAGCTCTGCTGGCTGGAGAATTCTGGGAGTTGNTTCCCAGTAAGGGTATGGCTAGCTGATGAGAGCTAAATAGCTTGAAATAGATCTATACTAGTCTCCCTTTATTTATTTATCAGCACAATTGCAACGCAAATGTAACAAGGCAACATACAAAAAAATGGCTCTCTGCCTGGAGGGCTCCCAGAGTGAGCCGATAGACAGAAAAGGGAAGCAGTATATATACACACATATATACATACATACACATAGTTACACATATGCATACATATATACACAGTTACACACACATATATACTCATACACATACTGTTCTGATAGGCAGCAAAATTTACAATGGAGACGGGGAAAAAGTAACATAGATCTGTACAGCAATTTTCCAGCAGATGGCAGTAATAAATTGCTTATGCTGTAAAAACATGTAACTGGATGAGAGAGAAAGAGAGGGAGAGGATGGATGATAGATAGATTGTGGTTTAAGTCAACCGAAGGATTTTGTTTGTGTTGGTTTTCTGTCAGCTGCCTCCTCCTCTTCCATTTTCTTCACCTTTTCCTCTTCCTCCTCATTCTTCCTTCCTTCCTACTTCTCTTCCTCCCTTCTTCCTGTTCCTCCCTTCTTCCTCCCTCCTTCTTCCTATTTCTTCTCCTTCCTTCTTCCCTCCCCTTCCTTCCTTCTTCCTATTCCTTCTCCTTCCTTCTTCCCTCCTCCTCCTCCCTTCTTCCTGTTCCTCCCTTCTTTCTCTTCCTTCTCCTTTCTTCTTCCCTCCTCCTCCTTCCTTCTTCCTCTTCCTTCTCCTTCCTTCTTCCTTCTCCTCCCTTCTTCCTGTTCCTCCCTTCTTCCTATTCCTTCTCCTTTCTTCTTCCTTCTCCTCCCTTCTTTCTGTTCCTCCCTTCTTCCTCCTTCTTCCTCTTCCTTCTCCTTTCTTCTTCTCTCCTCCTCCTTCCTTCTTCCTATTCCTTCTCCTTCCTTCTTCCTTCTCCTCCTCCCTTCTTCCTGTTCCTCCCTTCTTCCTCTTCCTTCTCCTTTCTTCGTCCCTCCTCCTCCTTCCTTCTTCCTATTCCTTCTCCTTCCTTCTCCCTTCTTCCTGTTTCTCCCTTCTTCCTATTCCTTCTCCTTCCTTCTTCCTTCTCCTCCCTTCTTCCTGTTCCTCCCTTCTTCCTATTCCTTCTCCTTCCTTCTTCCTCCTCCTCCTTTCTTCTTCCCTCCTCCTCCCTCCTCCTCCTCCTCCTTCCTCCTCCCTTCTTTCTATTCCTTTTCCTTCCTTCTTCCCTCCTCCTCCCTTCTTCCATCTCCCTTCTTTCTCCTCCCTTCTTCCTGTTCCTCCCTTCTTCCTCCCTATTCCTTCTCCTTCCTTCTTCCCTCCTCCTCTTCCTCCCTTCTTCCTGTTCCTCCCTTCTTCCTCCCTATTCCTTCTCCTTCCTTCTTCCCTCCTCCTCTTCCTCCCTTCTTCCNCAATAAAAGGGGCTCTCAGACCCCCAATCTGGGTCGCTCCATCCCGAGAAAGGTTGTGTCCGTGTCTTTTCTCCACATTGGCCTCATGGACGAACCATGGGAACGTTACATTTGGTGACCCGACGTGATAAGCTGTGTCGCCAGCCTTTCACTCACCCCCGACTGGGCAAAGTCTCGCAACCAGGGCCGGCCGTCAGCGAACGGAACGTTACACCCCCCCATAATGCACACTGTTTTGCGGATGTTTTTACGCCAGTATATTTTGTTAGAAGCAGCCCGATATCGAGAGCTTTCCGAGTTGATCCCAAAGCTATAGAAGATGAAGGTGGCGGTGGGTAAATGTAATGCGGTACAAGAAAAGCAGGAAGACACAATTAAAAGGAGGGGAGTAACGCTAACACCTGAGCTGGGGTCGCGAAGGGCTTTGCTACCGTCGCATCTCTCATTTCAGGGGCTCTTGATTCGATCATCGTTACCACCAAGGATGGGAAATTTCCGCTAAACCAGCTGGCACAGATCTCCCAGCATTCTGCACAGCTGCTAGTGGTCAATATGAACAGCTTTCCAGAAGTGAGTAGGTTCCTCGCTCCGTCCCCCTGGCAGATCCCAGGAGCCCCCCTGGGTGTGGAAAACGCTACTGTTCCCCCCCCCCTTTGGCTTCCTTCCCAGTTACGGCTGCCAGGAGGACTCGCGGCCCTGCCGTTGCGCCTGCGGTGGCTCAGAACGCAAGCTCCTCGGGAGCACGGATCCTTTTTTTTTTGGGGCTCTCACACTTTGATATTCCCGCCTAAGCCACGAATGGCAGCACAGCTTCTGCAGAACTGGGAGTTTTTCCTCCCTGCTCCATTGTGACTCCTCTCTTAAGAGAGAACAAAACAGATTGTTTTTTGTTGAGAGAAAGGAGCTAACGAATGCCAAGAGAGGGTCAGCTTAGGCGCCTCGGAAAACCCACGGTCTTCCTCGCTCTGCTGGCTGCCGAAGGGCTGTGTGTGGCACAAAAGCTGCGCCTGGGGGGAGAGGAAAAGGTGGGGGGGTGGGGGCGGTGGGGGAACACAGAGTTTTCCAGCAACCGCCTGCCAGAAAAATCCAGAGATGCGAAGAACAGGCCTGGTGCTAATCCCCTTCATTTTCACACTTGCCCGGTGCAATGTGGAACGAGTTAACGTGATTGAGGCCTTCCCTCCAAGCCCCACACAGGACCACGTTGAAGCCTTTGGCAGCCACAGGCCCATCCTGGAATCCTTCATCTGCCTTCCTCCTGCATCTTGCAAGACTCCCGAGCCCCCTGGGAGGTTTTGCTGCCTCCTTGGCAATCTGTGTTGCTTCAAACCGTCAAGATGGCTCCCGTCTCCCTTTCTGCTTTCTTCCTCGCTCGCCTAGTCAGTCTCCTTCTTCCCCCCCTCCCCTGAAGCCTCTTCACCGATATCTTCGATCCTGGGGGGAGGTGGGAGCAGAAGGAAAGGAATTGGTGTGGGGGGGGGGGCATCCTGCAGCTTGCAATTCAGTTTGATCAAAGGCGGCCGATGTAACTTCCTGGTCTCGCCGGTAACCAAACTAAACGTTTCCATCTTCTGTCAAGATGGATTGCTCTCCGCTGATGGGGAGTCCTGGCGTCTGGTAATAATTATTTGCTAATTCCCCCCTGCCATTTTTTTTTCCTCCCCCTCCTATCTCTGCGTTGTTGCAGAGCACAGCTGCAGCCGTCAAGGCGATCCAACAGAGCGGGATGAATCTCAACCCGGAAGCGGATGGGCTCCTGATTCGCGTGCCGGTTCCCAAGTAAGCGTCCTCTCAGCTGCCCACACCCTCACGCTTTTTCTCTTCGCGTCTTGCTTAACGTCAGGCGTGCCTCATTCAGTATCCAAGAAAGAAAAAAACCCCAACTCCATTTGAGCAGAGATAAAAGGTACTTTTACTGCGTGGCACGACAAAACCGCGGTCCACTAAAGCGCGCCCGATTAAAGCGCGTCGCTGACGTCATCAGCAGCGCG